GTGCAGGGCACCAACACCAAGGTTTACTTCAAGCAGTTTTGCAGAACTTGTCAGAAGTCTTATAGCCCTTACCAAGTGGAGGATATCACCTGTCAAAGTTGTAAACAGACTAGATGCTCCTGCACTGTAAAACACCACCAAGTTGGGCGCCTGGGTGGCTCAGTTGGTTAAGCGCCTGCCTTCGGCTCAGGTCATGATCCTGGAGTCCCGGGATCGAGTCCCGCATCGGGCTCCCTGCTCAACAGGGAGTCGGCTTCTCCCTCCGACCCTCTTCCCTCTCGTGCTTTCTATCTCTCATTCTCTCTCTCAAATAAATAAATAAAATCTTTAAAAAAAACAACAACCAAGTTGACCCTCAAAGGCCCCATCATCAAGATTTGTGCGGGAGATGCAAAGGCAAATGCCTGTCCTGTGACAGTACTTTCAGTTTCAAATATATCATTTAAATGAATGTAAAAACAAAACAAAACAAAACAAAAAACAATGATCCTACTTGAACGTGAGCTAATGAAGCAAAGTTAGCTTTTTTCCATGCTCCTTTCTGCCTCTCCCTTCTCAAAAAACTTCATGAAAGGCTGTATTTTTGACAAAGACTTCAAATGAAAGTATTGCAAAAACAACTTAAAAAAATATATAAAATATTATAATTCCCCCCCCCCAAATTCCCTTGTGCCCTCGGTAGTCAGGTCCCAGCCCTCCAGCCCCTAACAGTCAATCAGGAAACTTTGCCTCTAGTAGTGTGGTAGACATCTGAAATACTGTCACTTAGCATGTGTTTGGGATTCATCCACTACGCTGAATGCGTCCACGGTCCGCTCCTTTCCATTGCTGAGTAGTATTCCACTGTCTGAATGGACCACGTGTGTTTATTCATTCATCTGTTGATGGACATTTGGATTATTTCCAAATACAGCTGCTCTACACATTTGCATGTAGGTTTTTGCATGGACATGTTTTCATTTCTCTTGGAGTAGGATCGCTGATTTATAAGGTAAATGGATGTTTAACTTCATAAAAAAAAACTGCCAAACTATTTTCCAAAGTGGCTGAATTATTTTGTATTTCCAGCAGCAATGTGTGAGAGTTGCAGTGGCCCCGCATCTTCATCAGCAGGCGGCTGACCTCTAATGGTATTGGCACAGGATCCCAGGCCCAGAACGGTTTCCAGCACCAAACCAGCGGGGCAGAGGGATCGTTTCACCTACTGGAAATGAAGCCACCATGGATCTTTATCTGCGCCCTGGGAGTGCTTGGTATGTGGCCCCTCTCCTAGTGACTTAGGCTTTTGCTCCTTTGTAACAAGGATGTGCAAGAGGAAGGCGGGGTTTGGCACTTTCCCCATAAGCTGTCAATTCCCTCTGGCCCCTGCTCAGCTGCAGGGTCTTCCTTCCATCTTCCAGCACCTGCTGGAGTTCCTCTGTGCAAACTGTCCCGGTGTCTCGGGCCCCAGCTATTCATGCTGGCATGCCCACACACACCAGGCTCCCAACTATTTGTTAAGATTTTAGCTGATTTCTGGGGCGCCTGCGTGGCTCAGTTGGTTAAGCGTTGGCCTTCAGCTCAGGTCCTGATCACGGTGGTCCTGGGATCAAGCGGGGGGCTGGGCTCCCTGCTTAGCGGGGAGTCTGCTTCGTTCTCTCCCTCCACCCTCCCTCACCCCACTCATGTGCTCTCTTTGTCTCTCTCAAATAAATAAATAAGATCTTAAAAAAAAAAAGATTTTCACTGACTTCTTCTTCCCACGTATAAGGAGGCTGTGTGTGTCCCCCCTCTCCCCAAGGGCCAGCACAGATGAGCGGGTCTGCATTCCTCCCTTGGAATTCACGCTCCTTGGTTGCCCTGTGAGCTCAGCTTCCTGGCGAACAGAAGAAAAGTGCTGATTTTGTAGTATATCCAGGCTTCCCCGTGTCAGTGTGGGAGCAACACTCTTTGCAGCTTCTATATACTGGGTGGAAGAAAACCTTCCTTCCTGTCTTTGCAGGCTTCCTTCTACCCTCTTCCCACCACTATTCCCAGGCAGCTTGTTTTCAGCATTCCACTTCTAGGTACCAAGTTTTGCTCAGGAATCTATGCGTCCTATTCTCTATTGCTGTATGACAAGCCACCCCCAAAATCTGGTGGCTTACAATTAAACCGTACTACTAGTTCTCATGGTTCCATGGGTTGACTGGTCTCTGCTAAGCGATGTTCTCGCTTGGGTCTCACATGGGACAGCGGGGGCCGAAGTCATCTGAAGGTCTGGACAGCCAAGGAGCCTCAGCCCCATGCCAGCAGATGATTAGCAGAAGCCACAGGCATGACCACGGACAGTCAAGGCCCAGTGGAGGGCCATCTTTGGAGACTAGCTAACATCCTAAGAACACTACACATAAAATGGGACCTTTCACATTTAAGTCTTATGTTTATCTAGCCATAAAGTTAACAGGAGAAAAGGAAGAATAGTATCGTGGCAGGAAGATTATTAGATAAATCCTCCAAAGCACAAAGTTATAAGGCAGAGAAATAAAAGAGAGAAGCCCAGTACACCGGTATATAAAATTTCTACCAACAAAGGACACTCTGGAAGTAGTTAGTATACCGATGGCCAATGGGAGGAGATATTTGCAATATTGAAAATGGACAAGCAATTAGTGTCTAGATAGAAACTTCTGCAAATCAACTTAAAAAAGAGAACACTGTAAACTCTAAAAAAATAAATAAATAAATAAATAAATAATGAAAAGACTATTCAAAGGCAATTTATAAGCAATAAGCCTCAAGTGCTCACAAGCAGATGAAGAGGTGCTCAGAATCACTACTAATCAGAAAAACAAAGTAAAACAGTGAGCTCTCATTTTATACCTATTAACTTGGCAAAAATTAAAAAGCTAGATAATGCCAAGTGTGAGTATTATGTGCGAGCAATATAGGGGAATAGAAACCCTCCCTCACTTGATGCCCATGATATGAGGACCAGCGCAGCCCCTGCCCACAGCATCTGAAACTATTTTGGGATATGTACCCATGAGGGAATTGCTGGATTTATAGGAGATATATATATTTATATTTACATATTTATATATTTTTATATATTTATATTTAAGCTGATAAGAAACGGTCCACAGGCCAGAGAGCTACTGAGTTGGAAGAGATGTTCACTGCAGCATCACCTTTGTTGTTCTGTTCTGTGTGTGTTGCACACGCACATGCTTGGGGGCGGGGTAGTGGTGGTGGCAGGTTGTTGGAAGCTACCTGAGTGTCCACCACTGGAAGAATGATAACCTATGCTGGGTGGTCACCACGGAATACTGCACAGCAGTTAGAAGCTACACATTAAGTATATATCTATATGGCAAAAATAGATGAAAGAAACAGAATGAGACACAGCACACAGATCCATTTACAAAAAATAAAAAGACATACAGATGAAACAACAGCACCTGTTGCAAAACATATACAAACAAAAATACATATATAACACACTAGAGTTTACAGAGTAACACACTGGGAGGAGAGGAATAAAAGTGGAGTATGGGGATGAAGGTTAATGGGAAAGAAAAATGTTTTTGAACGTGAGAGGACTTGTACTACTCGACTCCAAGACTTACACAGCTACAGTAAACAAGACATACGGCATTAGCATCAAGATGGACAAACAGATCAATGAACAGGATAAAGTCCACACATATAGGTCAGTTATAAGTAAACCACACATATATCTTCAACTGAGTTTTTACAAAGATGTAAAAGCAGTTCAGTGGAGAAAGGAAGAACTGAATATTCATTCATATGCAAAAAGTGAATTTGGATCCATAACTTAAAGCATAGGAAAATTTAACTCAAAATGGATCATAGACCTAAATGCAAAACCAAAAACTACAAAACACAGGAGAAAACATCACAAAAAGAAAACATAACAGAAAAATCTTCATGACATTGGGTTAGGCAAAGATTTCTTAGCTGCAACATCAAAATACTAATGCATAAAAGTAGCATTGGATAAATTGGATTTCATCAAAATTAAGGGCGTTTGCTCTTTGAAAGACAGTGTGAAACACAAAGAAGAAACTGGCAAACCACATCTCTGACAAAGTGCTCATATCCAGAATAAAGAACTCTCAAAACCCAGTAAGAACACAACTCAAAAGGAGGGGAGGGCAGATTTACCAGTGAAAATAAACACGTGAAAAACTGTTCAATATCATTAGCCATTAAGGGAACTCAAAGGAAAACCACAATGAGATACCACTCCACAGCAAATAGAATGACTGAAATGAAAAAGATTGACCATAACAAACACTGGTGCATCGTTGAGGGTGTAGGGAAACTGGAAGTCTCTCATACACTGCTGGCAGGCACGTAAAATAGTACAACCACTTTGGGAAGCGGTATGGCAGTTTCCTAACAAGTTATAAACACACGTCTGTCATATGACTTGGCCATTTCACTCCCAGACGTTTACCCAAGAGAAATGAAAGCAGATATCTAAACAGACGTGGATGGAAAAGTGCACAGCAGCTTTATTTGTAATAGTGAAAAACTGCAAACAACCCAAATGCCCATCAACAAGTGAACAGATCAACAAAATGCGGTATATCCATACAATGTAACACTGTAAAGTAAATTTTACTTAAGCCATAGAAAGGAAGAAACTATTGATAAGAAAGGGGTGAACCGCAAAGTAATTATGCTGAGTCATAAGAAGCCAGACACAAGAGTATCTGCATTTACATAAATTCTAGGAAATGCAACCTAACATACTGCGCCCGGAAGCAGATGAATGGTTGTCAGAGAAAGAAGGAAACCTGTAGGGACGATGGATATATGATATGTTTATAAGCATGATCGTAGTGGTGCTTGCACGAGAGCTCACATATGTCAAAACGCATCAAATTGTACACTTTAGTTATGCGCAGTTTTTTGTAGGCCAATACCTCAATCAGTTGCCTTTAAAAAAGAGAAAGGTAATTTCGCGTCCGGGGTGACACGGCTGGTAAGTGGCAGAGCGCCATTCAAGCGCAGAAGTCCGCACCTGGAGCCCGCGTTCTCAGCCCCTGAGCTCCGGGGAACAAGAGCCCGGAAGAAAGTGCTGGAAGCGGGCAGAGGCCGAGAGCGCGGGTCGCCGCCGAGTTAACGATTACCGGTGGGCGGGTCCTCTCGGCCCCTCCCCGCCCGCGGCCCGAGCGCCCGGCGCCGCCCCGCCAACCCCGCAGCTCGGCGGCCACCTGCTGCTCGACCGCGTCCGCACCTGCGCCGCGCCCGCCATGGTGAGGGGTCGCGCGCCGCCGCCCGCGGGGCCCGGGCGCGCGGGGGAGCGGAGGAGAGGAGGGGGCCTATTGCGGGGGCGGCGAGGGTGGGGGACGGTCCCTGCGAGCGCCTCGCCCGCCAGCCGCTCGCCAGGCTCGGAGAGCCCGGGTCTCTGCCCCGCTGCCACCCGCACCCTCGGTGGTGCCCCAGGGCGAGCTGAGGCCGGGAGAGGGGCGGTGGCGCGGCCGGGTGACAGCGAAGCGCAGCCCAGGCCTGGCCCTGCTCCCAGGCCCGTGTCCCCAGGGCGCCTCGCGGCTGCAGGCACACATGAGCGGTGGGCCCAGGGCGGGGGGGGGGGGGGGGGGGGGGGGGGGGGGGGAGAGGCAGCTGGTGAGCCCCGTAGACATCGCCCCCCCTCGGTGGCAGGTTCTCGTCAACACTGAGGGGAGGGGGCGACTGTGTGAGTGTGAGTAGGAGGGAGGCTGGTTCTGTTTCTCTTCGAGTCTGTTTACCACCCTCCTCGCTTGCGCTTCTGGCACAGGGTCCTGCAAAGTCCTCTGTGCACCGGGCGCTGCCCCCTGGCCTCAGAACCAGCCCCTGGTGCCTCGCTTGAGGCCTGTGCCCAGCAATGGGGACCCAACTGCTCAGGATCAGCCCAACCCTGCAGGCTGGTTTCCTCCCAGGATGCCCTTGGCGCTGTGCTCAGCCCTACTTCAATACCCCCACCCTCCTGGAGGTGACTGGAAGCCCTGGCAGGGGAGGAGAGTAGTATGTAGACCCGGGAAGCTTTACTGAACAGCCCCTTTCTGGTCCCAAAGCCTGAGGAGCAGTAGGGACTGTGGTGACAGCTGAGAAGGCACTTGGAAAGCTGTGGCTTGGAGGGAGGGCAGGGGGAGAGTGAGGCTGGTGGTGTGGTGCTCTGAGGCCCCAAAGATGCAGGCAGGGCGGGTAATCAGTAACCGGAGCGCACACTCCCCCAGATGACCAGGCCAGGCCTGGCCTGCGATTTACTAAGCAAACACTGCCCCTTCCCCCGCTCTGATCCCAGCTCTCAGAGGCACTTGTCATTTCAGCCCCAGGCTGTGAAACTTGGGCGATCCCCGAAGTCTCTAAAGGCCAAGGGGTGCCTCCTAAGAGCTCACTAGTACCCACCTACTTCTTTCGGGGCCAGAGACCTAAGCAGTGGGTTCTGATGCCTGGGCTGACATCATTCATCTGGTTGCCTGGATACATGACCAGGCTTATCAGCCACTGAGAAGGGGCTGGATCTGGAATGGAGCAAGGGTTGAGCACAGGATGCAGATCTCTCAGAGCTGAGGAAAGGAGCTGGACCAAGCCAGATCAGTCCAGAGAAAACAAGTGTTTTTCAGGAGAGAAAGATTGACTTAGAGGAGGCTGTACTGCTTTTCTAGTTCAACACCACACCTGCCAGGCCTAACAAGCCTGCTAGCCCCAGAAAGTCTCCTTTTACAAATGCAGATGGCAGGCCCTTAATAAGGATGGACTTTATTGATATGTCCCATTGGCTCCTCTTGCTGATCTGAAATGGAAGTTCTGGGCCCTTTCTACCTTTCAAGCCAAGGGAGGTGAGTGCCACAGGGCCACCCTGCTGGACGATGGCAGAACTGGGGCTTGAACCAGTCCTGCCAACGGCCCCCCACGGCTGCCAGGCTGCGGGCTGCCTCATGAAGCTAAATTAGCCTCCCTCACATTCTCTTCCCAGACCTTACTGGTTCATTTTTCCTTCAACACTCGATTAGTTTCTGTTGCAGAAGTCTCAATTCTGGGATCCCATCAGTGCCTAGGCCTGGATCCATCCCCCCAGAGAATGGACCCGGCCTTTGCTTCCTTCTGTCTCTGAGGGTTCCACTCAGGGCCTGAACTGTACCAGCTTGGGCTGCCTGGAGGGCACTTTGCACAATAGGTAAATAGCCTGAGGCATTAGGCTTGCCAGTCACCCTGGGCCAAGTTACTTCCATTTTGGGCCTGAGCTCTGTTGGCTCAGGCTCCCCAGGCTGACGGAGTAGACAAGAAGGTGGGAATCCGAAGCCCCCAGGCCTGGCAGCTGGTACTCAGAGGCTGCGTGGGGGCATGAGGAACACCCACTGGGAGGTAGTACCGGTGGGTGTACACTGTAGTGTGGTGAAGAACCACCTGGAAGGTGTTTTAAGTGCTGGCTCCTTTGCCCCGGGCCCAGGAAGCAAACTCAGACTCCCTTTGAGAACAATGCCTGTGCTCTTGAGGATGGAGGGGGGCGTGGGGGGAGGAGAACTGTGGTCATTTTCCCTTTCTAGGCCTGTTTCCTTGAATCACATTGCAGGCGTGGGGGTGAACTGGATACCGTCCATAACAGAAAAAGGAAGGTTGGACAGTCATGGATCCTCTTTCCCTGAAAAGTTGTGTAGTAACACATTCGCATCTGGGCTTCATTTTGCTTTTACTCCCTCATTATAATAAGAGACCTAGGGTGGGGGGGGGGTGTTGTTGCTCAGCCCCAGGGACTTGCATCACACCTCAGGATTTTCTGTTCTCTGAGCAGAGTGTCAGAATCTAAGAACGTATCAGCGCGTGAGCCAGGGCCCCACCCCCAGGGCAGGGTGCCACCCTCAGTGCCTCCCTGACCATTGCGTTAGACCCGGCCACCAGAGCCCCCGGGGAGGCTGGCTGACTTCCGCTCATGACTGGAAGGAATCTGTTGATTTCCTCTCCTAGGCTGGCAAAGCACATAGGCTAAGTGCTGAGGAGCGCGAGCAGTTGCTGCCAAACCTGAGGGCTGTGGGGTGGAACGAGCTGGAAGGCCGAGACGCCATCTTCAAGCAGTTCCATTTCAAAGATTTCAACCGGGTATGTCGCCGGGTGGGACAGAGTTTCTGAGACTGGGGCGGATGGGGTTACACTCCAGAACTTGTTCTCTCCCTTAAAGCCCTGCTACCCAAGCCCTTTCAGACACTACCCTAGTCAGGTTGGAGTGTCATCCTTGGGGACTGGAGAGTGGGGAGATGGGTCTTGGGTTCTCCATACCCGGAACTCTTAGAGCAGCCCTCTGTCTCTCAGAGCGCTGACCTGGGTCTCACTTCACTACATAGGCTTTTGGCTTCATGACGAGGGTGGCCCTGCAGGCTGAGAAACTGGACCACCATCCTGAATGGTTTAACGTGTACAACAAGGTGAGCGATGATGCGTGCCCAGCCAAGTCCTGAAGGCCCTTCGCTGGCCTTCCCTGGGGGCCTCCCCACCTAGAATCAACATGAACAGCCCTGCAAAATAGGCTCACTACAAATTAAAGAAGTGCAAATGAAAACACTGGTGAGAGAACAGGCGGTTAAGGTAGACAGTGAGTAGGCAATCAAGAAGGCCGAACCACAGCAGGCAAGGCTGTGGGATCGGCCGTATTCGTGGCTAATAGCTCTAAATGGCCTAACCCCTCCTGGAGGTGTGGCGTGGAGGAATGAAAAAGTCGTCACCGGGGCTGAGAATAGCACGCACAGCGAACAGCTCAGACCCCGGGCCAGGGCCACCACGGGAGGGTGTGCAGTGTTGCTAGAGACTCGGGAAGGCTGCCCCCCAGGCCACAGTGTGGAGACCGGCGCTACCCTGAAGTGCTCGGTGTGGCTGAGCCGCACAGCCATGACCCTCTCCTGCTCGGGGCCCGAACCTCTGGTTTTGTTCCAGGTCCACATCACCCTGAGCACCCATGAGTGTGCCGGCCTTTCGGAGCGGGACATAAACCTGGCCAGCTTCATCGAACAAGTAGCGGTGTCCATGACCTAGGCCCTGCCCTTCCTCTGTGAATTCTTCAGGGGAAGGGGGTGACTGAATCGGGAATCCGGGGAGGGAACCGGGGAGCCCTGTTACTGCAGCCGAACGGCCAAGTGGACCCTGCTGCCTCCGGCTAGGGGGAGTCCTTGCTATGGAAGGAGACGCCCACATCACCGCCGCCCTTCCTCCCCACACCCCTCTCCAGCCTTGGCGCTCTGTTACACGTACGCTGACTGAGTACGATCTTCCCTTTCTGGAAGACTTGCCGGCAACAGTAACGGTCTTCTTGCCAGGCTGTGTCCTGCTCCCTTTCTAATTCATTTCCCAGGAAGCTGTGTCTAAGATGCACCAAGTCTTGTCTTAGAAACCAGGACCCTGAAGTCAACCCCGTTGTATGTGACAGAAGCACCTGTGCTTTTATGCCTCAAATAAAACTCGTGTTTCACTTGGTCTCAGGCTCTAGAACCTTCCTTTCCACAGGTCAGTCCAAATTGGAGTCTAGAGGCATTTAAAGCACTTCCTCTGTGGGAGGCACTGTTCAAGGCATTGGGGGGGGGGGCGGAGTGGGACCAGACCACCCTGTCTTCATGCAGGGGAATTAAGCAGGAAGCAGTAACTACCACTAGGCAGGATGAATGAAGTCAATGCTAGAGGCAAGGGTAAGAAATGAGCTAAGGGAACATGAGGTGATTGATGAGGGTAAGTCTGGACGCTTCTCTGACCTGTGCCTCGAAGACCTGAACGGGATTCTTGAGGCAGGGGTAGCCGAAGTGGTACCATGACTAAAAGAAAAGGTTTGCAGGACACCTGTACTTATGCATGGTGGGATCTACGACTAGAAAGGCAGTCTGTGGCTGTCTTATGTTCTTCCTGGTCTCCAACATCCCAGGGGGAGATTTCTAATCCTGATAGTGTCTTGTGGTTTCTTAGAGACTTAGTCCGAGTCTCAAGGCTTGCCCGCTTTTACTGTGTAAGGGAGAGGACAAAAGTCCTAGCTTACGAGGTGACAGGCTACTTACCATCTGAGCAGTTATGGAGTGGATTCCTACAACTCAGTCCTCCAACCTAGTAACTCGAGGATAGACTGTTGCCACTAATGTGCTGTGACTGGGAGAAGTTGGGGGGGGGGCACAGAGCACAGTCTCCTCTCTCCCCAGTGCATGCCACGTGGATGGCAGTCTGCATATGCCATGATGCAGGATTGTGAAAAGCCCTTCTCCTGATGGGTTCTCATCCAAGATCCCCTAGCCTGAAGCTGCCTGCGTTCTAAGCTGACTTGCAAATGCCAGGGTTCCTTGGAGCAGACATTTAGCAATGTCACAACCCAGTCACCCTGGATGAGTTGGTCCTACAAGGGCCAGAAAAGAGGCAGAGGTTGGCATCCGAGAAATAGGCATATTGTTGGTAAAGGTACCAGCAGGATCTGAGACTTAACAATACCTATGTCAATGGCAGGTTCTCAGAAAACTTAATAATCAAAACCAGAGAGATTCTGATGGTGGTCCCCCATCTGCTCCACTTCTGAGTTCCCTTTTCCTAAGTGTGCTTTGATCTGACGACTGTGGATTAGGGGACAGAAGCCACCAGACACGGAGGTATGGAGCACGTGTTATGTCACCGTCCTGCCTCTGCTTACCCATGGATCGGGGGTTGAAAGACGCCAACCTAGAGGACACTACAGTTCTATGAAAGACTGATGTGGGACAAAAACATAAGTGATACTTTTTCAGAAACAAATGTTTATTCTACAATTCGTGCAAATAACTGACGTTGTAGGGGAAGATGTTAAGGACAGATTATGAAAAAGAAAGCTCAAGAGAAAGGGTGGCAATTAGGACTCCAACTTTAGAAAAGGCTCACAAATGCTGACTTTTGCTGACCCAGGCTGTAGTTGATGGCTGTCAAGTCAGGCCTCTTGTCATTACTTCTCCACTGCTGGGTCTGGCTACAGGTGGCTCGTTGCTACCAAGAACCCTCAGAGAAGGCAAAGGGGTTCACCGTGGTTAAGTAGCAGGTGCAAGCATCCAAACCCCAACTCTTGGACGGAAGGGGCCAGGCCTCCTAACCAAGCATATCCTGGCCTCATCCTCTAAGGTTAACCCCAAAGCAAGCAGGTGCTCAGGAAACCAAGTCATTTAGCAGAAAACTAGCAAAGACGGCATTCCTTAGCTTGATTCTGGCGAAGTCCAAACGGGTTGAAAAGCTGGGTTACCTGTGTGACAGGCTCCAGGCCTCCGGAAGGACTTCTCACTTCTTACTTGTAATGGAACAAGATGCCCAGCGGTTACATGTGCAGAGGTATTCTAAGGGGTTCCATCCACTCCCAAACCATGGAAGCCAGTGCCCAGCGGGCTGCAGCCCACCCTGGAGGGCTCAATCCATCATTAACGTATAGGCAGAAGTAGATGGTGAAGAGGACAGAAGACACAAGCTGGGCCTGGGCCCTGGGGAACTAAAGACCTGAGTTCCAGACCCCCTTAAAGCAGGTGTGACCAGCACTCCTGGTGAAGCCTCCCGTGGAGGTGCTCTCGCCCACAGACGGCTAGCGCCCTGAAATCTCCGCGGCCACACACAACCATTTCACCACAAGGGGGCGATCTCCCACCGGCAGCCAGTTCTCCAGCGGCCACCACCCCACCCGGGGTTCTCCGGGCCGCCCCTACAGAAACAAATGAATGCAACCAGCCACGTCGGTTAAGATTTCGGTCATTTAATTACGGAATTGCTTTTTAAGATATTATTGCTGCAATTAGGAAGGGAGCACTGAGCTGGGAAGAAAGAAGTTAAATACAGAAAAGATTTAAAAGAGGCAAGTACCATTTTCCAAGTATAAAACCGGTAATATTAAAAGTGACAGGGCAGTAGGGTCACGCGGCTGCTTACTCTGTGTAGAAACCAGATGCTACAGTTTCTGCAGAGGCCAATGTGACATCTGCTAGCAACATGACATCTGAAGACATTCTGCCCGCCTCTGCCAGACTAGGTGTTCCTAGGCGCGCAGGTATGCATAGACTGGAAAGCCCACAAGTGTCAGGCAAACTAAGGCTTGTGCTATAAAGTGGCTACAGGAGGTCCCTTTGAAAAACACCGCTGCCCCCGGGGCAGCAGAGGAAGGGCCCGCAGATGCTGGAAGCAACAGCACACTCTATCGGGCACAGGCTTCTCCATTTTCACAGATGACAAACCACAGTGGTGCCGGTGGGGTGGTTCTGGGTCCCGGGTCTTCCTTCAACACCATGAACGCGCCGGAGACCCAGGAGCCCTGGCGCACAGCTCCGGCCACAGCAACTCTCTCGGGAGGTGCCTCCAGTTCAGCGACGGGAAGGAACTCGGCTCCCGCGTCCAAAGGATCTTAGCGTCTCCCTCTAACATGCATGCGTGCGCGCGCGCACACACACACACACACACACACACACACAAACGCACAAGAGGAACACACACACTCCAGCCCTGCAATGACACGGCCAGCTCGTCACAGTTATTGTGGAGGAAGTACAGTGCCAGGAGCCACTTCAGACAAACATGCCACGGAGCCTGGGGGACAGTCTGGTTGTCGTGGCCCTCCCAGCCGGCGTTCCCAGTGAGGGAGGCCAGAGGACAGCAGCCTGAAGAGGCTGAATGGTTCAGGAGTCCCTGAGAAGGGGATTGGAACAGAGGCTATTTGCTCCTGACTTACCCTTAAAGTCCTCCCCCACCCAAATAAAAGCTCAAAGACTGACCCATTTCCCCGAGGGCCTGGGTCAGGAGTAGCCCCCCACTGCTCTCTGCTGAGGAAAAAAGGCACACCGTATGTCATCTTCAGAGGAAGACAGTGGCTCCACCTAGATCAGGGCCCTGTGCAAGGGTGAGGAGGGTGGGGAGTGGGCGCAGGGTTTGGTCCTGTCCCTGCACCACCCTGAGCTACTAGTCTTAGGAAGGAATCCCAGGCCCCAGGCCCCAGCTGACCGTTACCATCATGCTCTCCTAGTCCAAAGTTAGCCGGGGCTGAGAAGTGTCCAGTACCTGAGGCTAAACTGCCATAGTACCTGTGGGAGCTGAACAGACGGAAAGAGGCAGGAGGGACACACGAATGGGGAGAAGTTTCCTTGCCTTGGAGGCTCTCTCACGTGCTCCCTGCACCCACCTAGGGTAAGTCAAGGCAACTTGTGAAGGTGCTCTGAGCTGTTCCTTCAAGCAAACATTCTCAGACGAGATGGCTTACAACAGTGGGTGAGGGGAGGACCACCACCAACTCTAGGGACATATATTCCAATGTGACCCTCAGAGAACTTGAGAAAAGGCTCTGGTTTCCGATCCTCAGCAGCCCAGGAGAGGGTTCGGCTGTGCTCCCAACGCTGCCGACGCAGACAGGAAGCACCAGGGCCAGAAAGGCCTAGGCTCTCCAGAAACCGCGTTGTCTTCCTAATCCAGGGGAACAACAACAAACCAATGCGAGCACGATTTCAAACACAAATCTCCAAGGACGGTGGTCACCAAGTATCAAGCGGGGACAGCAGAGGGCCACTCCAAAGCCTGCCTTCACAGACTGAGCAGAAACGCTCAGCCATTCTAATCCCGAAAAAGAGGAACAGCGGCCTGTCCGTCTGTGTCCTGGAAAAAGAAACTGAGCTGAACTACATGACTCTGTGAGACAACTCACCTACTCAAAGAGGAGGCTGAGAAGGCCTCGTGCTTAGAGGGTACCTAACTCCCACCCGGGGAAACATCTTCCGATCTGCCTCGCCAGTCCACCGGAGAGAACGCAAAAAACCTTCTTTATCACATAAACCACCCCAGCCTCCCTAAGACTCAGGACCAGTCAGAGCTGCCACACAATGATTAAATGAAGTTGAAAGCTAGAAGGTTAGAGAAGAAAATGGCTAAAACAATCCCTAGGGTAACATTTGAGAACAAGGGCAAAATAATTAGGTCACGGACTCCTTCAGGGTCTCCACATTAAAGACCACAGGAGGATGACAAGAGGAGGAACAAGAACCCCGAGGATCAAGGAGTCCCGCGGTCTGTCTCGTCGTGCTCCACGGAGCAAGACCAGATGCTGAAACTGTGCGTGGCCTGTTCCACGCCCCGAGAACCCTCTGAAGGCCAGGCGCCCCTCAGGGCCACAGAGGGTCCAGGCTCAGCGGGGTTTCGGAGAACCATTCATCTGGCTGCTCTGGGTTACAGTATCAGTGCTGAAAAGGCTGTCCAAGAAGACTGAGGACAATTCTGCGACCAGGTTCCTGTCGACGGTCGTCTGGGCCATGCCATAGATCGCACCCTACAAATCCAGTCAGAGAGCATTACTGGCAATGAGGCGTACAGGGGCGGAGATGAGGTGTATGGGGGTGGAGATGAGGTGTATGGGGGCGGAGATGAGGTGTACGGGGGCGGAGATGAGGTGTACGGGGGCGGAGATGAGGCGTACAGGGGCGGAGATGAGGCGTATGGGGGTGGAGATGAGGCGTATGGGGGTGGAGATGAGGCGTATGGGGGCGGAGATGAGGTGTACGGGGGCGGAGATGAGGCGTACGGGGGTGGAGATGAGGCGTACAGGGGCGGAGATGAGGTGTACGGGGGTGGAGATGAGGTGTATGGGAGCGGAGATGAGGTGTATGGGGGCGGAGATGAGGTGTATGGGGGCGGAGATGAGGCGTACGGGGGCGGAGATGAGGCGGAGATGAGGCGTACAGGGGCGGAGATGAGGCGTACGGGGGCGGAGATGAAGCTGTGGCTCCGATCCCCCCGTCTCCGCCTTCTGTGTCTGCTCCTCCCCGGCTCCATGCCCACCCCAGACAGCTCTTCACAGGTACTTGCCGGTCTGCCTTTCAGCCCAAAGAAACTGGCCTATGGGATTTGCCATAGAAAATTCCAGAGAAAACAGGCTTATTGTCTTTCCTGTCAACATTTTCTGTTCAAAGGGACATGACCACCACGTGCCTTTGTTATGACACGTTCAAATTTACAAGGTGCTTTATATACAGCACACCTCACTTGACACCAAAGAGCCTGGGAACGGGTGAGGCAGAGGTCATCAGCTCCAAGGAATAAGGTTTATGGAGATGGGACAGAGGCAGGACCAGACTCGAGGTCACCTGGTTCTTCCAAACCTCCCACAACACCTGAACTTCCACAGGAAGAAAAAAATCCCAAGTGTCCCTACCATTCCTGTGGTCTTTGCTTTAGGATTCTTCATGATTTGAGTGACAGACTCCCGGATGTCCTTTAGGAACTGTATGGCTACTCGCTTCCGGGTGTGTACTAGCGTGATGCAGAAATGGATACTGTGGGAGAAGAGAGAGACAGGCAGAGATAAACCTTGGGAAAAGAAAACAAAGTTCTAAAATAAAGCGGCGCCACATACTGGAATTTATCGCTTGCTTCTTCATGTTATTTGTGACAAGTGTTCCCAGTCCTGGGCATCAGGGCTCTCAAATACGCGGGGGCTGTCAAGCACGGGCCGGCATGAGGGTTTCATGCCTCCGTGTGAGCAACATCCTGACAGAGGGAGGACCCCTCCCCTCAAAAACTGTCATATGATATGCCTTCAGCCATGGGGCCACCAAAGGGATGCTCTCCTTGTAGATGATAAACCCTCATGGGCAAAGGGCCACAGGGATCTTGAAGGACTTCAAGGCACAGAAGAAACTCTCACGCCCCCTAAAGGGAGACTGAGGTACAGAGGGATGGTGAAGAGGAAGAAGCTGAGTCCAGGTGGGACTGGCAACAGCACCAGGAAGTGAAAGGATCGGGGTGCACAGAGGGCACGGGGGACCTCTGCCATCGGGGTGTGGGGTTTATTTACAGGCATCGTGGGAGATGAAATGACAGAAGCATATTACAGGACAGGGCAGCAGGCCTGAACGATGAGAGGCCCTGTGGAGGGTTCTGAGCTAAGTATGACTCAGGTCACAGGCCCGTCGGCAAGAGCAGCCTCATGGCGGTGTACGAGATGGGGCGGGGAGTACACAGCCCAGGAAGAGGGGAGGGGCGGCGGGGGGGGGGGGGCTCGTGACTGACCGCTGGTCTCTTGTAAAGCTCATCGTCTTGTCCTTGATACTGAGTAATGTCAGGTGGTGAGGGAAAATCCCACGGATACTCCGTCAGTCCTGAAGCGCTGGCCTCACTGTCAGTCTCTAGGCTTCGGGTCACCCTGCTACCCGAGCTGTTGCGAAGTCACAGAGTGCAGTGAGGGCAGGAGGCTCCTCGGGCTTACCTGGGTGGGAACTGCAGCTGGTTCAGGTTCCAGCCCTTAGCAGTCATCAGGTTAAACAGTCGGTAGATGTCAAAATCTCGGGAGCCCAGAGCAATGACTGACAACTGGGGATTCCCAAAAACAAAGATGCCTTTGATATTTTCCAGTCTTAAAACAAACAAAAAAAGGAACAGAAAGGAAATTTCAGTCACATATACGCCTCGGGCCATCATCTCTTTCATCGTGCAAATGTCTCCCCTATAACACAATCTAATCTTTTAGGGCTTCAGCTCGCTCACCTTCTAGTATCAGGTGGCAAGACTGAGATCAGTGGTTCCCAAACATTACAAATACTCAAAGGCCCAAACCTCACTGAGCTCCAATGAGTCAGAACCACTGGCTCCTACCCTGTCTGCCCAACTCCCAAATTGTGATATGCCCCGGGGTCATCTGAGGCATAAAAGATACACTTAAAAAAAATCCTGGCAAAATAACCCCTCCATCTCTTCAATTTCAAAAATCATATACGTAATCCCTAAAGCAAGAAATCGTAGAGCAGTTCACAACAGATGGGTCTATTGGCTGGGTATGTGCAGGCTTTTTTCGAATGAGACATGTCTACTGGCCGCTTTCACTCACCCTCCAGATTCTGAAAAAGCCTCCCCAGTGCGGGTGAGCCACAGAGATAGGCAGGGGGCACGCGACAGGTGGGTCAGACAAACATGCAGCCTCGTTCTAGCCTCATCTCACCCTGGGTACCCCCCCCCGCCCTTCCCCCGTTCGTTCCCTCTGCCTCATCTCCGACACTGTTCCACCAGCGACTCCCCAAGTGTGAGCCCTAGACCCACAGCTTCAGTATCCACTGGGGGCTTCCCAGAAACGCAAGTCCTCAGACTCCCACTCCAGATGGACGGAGTGAGATTCCTAGGAGTGGGGCCCAGCAACCTGAGTTGTGACAGGTCCTCCCGATGATTAAGATGCGTGCTCAAGTGTGAGAACCGCGGTGTTAAGGATGACGCTGCACAGTGTGTGGGCACTTGGTAAGAGCTGCCGGTCGTGAAGACACGCTTTTGAGACACGATGGCCCACAGGTGAAGCCTGGGTCTGACCCTCCAAGTCCCAGCAGAGCCAGGGAGTTTCTCCTCCCAGGCCGGCGCCACACTCCTAAGCTGCTGTCCTAAGCCCCTGGTCGCTAGGGGATGCTGAATGGGCCGGGAGCTATGGGTGCTTGGCCAGGCAGATGCCTCGGGCCTATGAGCAGACAAAGCAAGAGACGAGGTGGACCCCCAATCCTCCACACATACTCTGACTTGAGGAAGCGAGTGGTTTTGATGATCTGTTTGGTGGCCTCAACATAGCCGCTCTCACCGAAGTGCATCAGGGCAGCCCAACAGGCCGCACTGATGCCTCCGGGCCGGGAGCCCGCGATGGTCGGGGAGGCGTAGATGCCGCCCTGCCAGTCTGTCGCCACGAAGAACTGATGGCTCCTGTACTTCTTGTCACTGTAGAGCAGCACGGAGGAGCCTTTGGGGGCGTAGCCGTACTGAGGGGAGAAGCGCACAGGTGAGCACCCAGCTCCCAGGCAGGCCCGCCCCGCAAGCTCCCCGCGCACACTTCTCCTTCACGTGCCCGTTTCCCACCGCGTCCCACTCGCACCGACAACCCACACTCAGAACGTTACGGGTGCAGGGCGCTGCGGGGACGGGGCTGAAATGCCCTGTGAGGGCTGAGGCTTCTGGGCCCCTCACCCAGCACGTGGCTTCTCTATGTAAACCGCACTCCAGGGCGGTGCGTCACGGTGGAAGCAAAGATAAATTTCCACTGGCAACCGGGGGAAAGGGTAGAAGTCACGTCACCTGGAGCGACTAAAATCACAAGCTGACTCCCGTCCCATCTCTTTTATACTTCCTTTTTTAAGACCATCACGGTGTTCAGCATCTAGAAGCTACTGAATCCAGCCTAAAAACAACCTACGTACTTGGTTTCCTTATAGAAATGTGCCCTCCTAGTGAACTCCCGCTGCCGCGAACATGGAGCCAGCCTCACTCCCTGACCCACACCGGGAGAGACGGTAAGGAAGAGGGCACAGGGGTCGCCTGGGTGCGAGGCGAAACCAAATCAGATCCCGACGGAAGATTCGCGGGCATCACGTAAGAGTCTGAAAAACAGGTCTCCACTATGCTTGAGATGAAAACAAGCTCTGCGAGTGTCTTCAGCACAGAGCACACATTCCTGAGGCTGCTGCTTCTCCCACATCTGCATGTAGCTGCAAAGCCATCCCGGCCACCAGGGTGGTGGCATCCGAACATTCCTGAGCACGCAGTTCTGCCCTCTCTCCAAAGGACTCTTCCTTTAGCTGGCTCCTGTCACGTGGGGCAGCAGCCCCGTGGTGTGGGAGCTCAGCACCAGCATACCTCCTCCCAGGAATCCCACTATCAAATTCATCGCTACCCTCCACCCCAGAGAATCTCAGAGCTTCAGGGAACATTTTTCTAGGGGCCCTTGTCCTGGCATGTCCCAGCTACATACAGTCAGTGGATGCAGAAATTCTCTGAGCCACATGCCACAAATAGGTCCCTTTGCACGATTACGTGTCACCTCTAGCACTATACTTTGTCACCTGAACCAGCTACGCGGGTGAGAGCAAAGAGCCAGATTTAATTTTACATTTTGGGCAGAAGTTAATGCTTTAACCAATTTATTTTGTTGATAGTCAAAATAATCAGGTGCCTCCTTTGATTAACATTTGGTCCCTTCCCTGTCTCACCTTGTGGGTATCAGCTGAAATGCTGGTCACACCTTTCACCCGGAAATCAAATGGTTGCTCCAGTGGGTATCCTGCTTTCTCCATAAAGACGATGAGGAAGCCCCCCAGACAAGCATCTACATGAAGAGGTATTTTGTATTTGACAGCCAGCTAGTTCCAGAAAACAAAGACCACAAGAGAATTTCATTTATAGCCATATAACAAAAACTTTGCAAGACACAGGTGGAAAGATGTGCTGCAACCACAAGGCCACTATATACTGCATCTTTCAGGCTTTAAAAAACTGGCTAGTTTTCACATTCCTAATAAAGTTCATCTTTTAAATGTATTTAGGCTTCAAAATAATTCCTCTGAAATGTGGTATTTTATATTTAAATACGCAGGGCCTCAACCTCACCATAAAATCAAGCAGGAAACGAGCAGCCCTCTGATGCAGGGGGAAGAGTCCTGCTTTAGTAACTGCAGGCTGGGGAGGAGTGGGCGCTAGGCGGGTGGCGCTATTGGATGCCACCCTCTGGTAGGCAGGCTCCTACATGCAGCTTATTTTCCCGGCTGAATCGAAATGCCCGTACTCTTTCAGAATATCCAGTCTTCTTCCCACAGCAGGGCCAGTTAACTTTCTGAGGCTCCAAACAGAGCTGCAGGGCTTCCTATGGGCCTCAGGAAATTTGTGCACAAATCTAAACTCAGGCTTGCTTCTCCTTGCCGAGTACTGCACCATTAGATTCTATTTTCAAATCTCAGCTTGAGTGCCTGGCAGGCCATTTCTCCCACGTACCTTGGCCACTTCCGGGACAGGATCGATGATACCATGAGGAAACTGGGGGGTAGAACAGACGAGCATGGCCGTGTTCCTGGAGATGGCTCTCCTCATTGCCTAGGGGTTGAAAGGGGAAAGGAAAATGAGAAACCACGTCAGAATGCCAAGAGCGCTCCAGGCCCCCAGCTCAGGGTCTGCGCTCCTCTAGCCCACCTCCTCCCATCTCTCCAACCCAGGAGAAGACAGCCCCCCGCCACGGCGGCAGCACAGACAGGGCCAGAGGGCTCCAGCGGGGGGGACGGTCCGTGGCCACAACACGGCAAATCACTGTGGGAGGAAAAACGGCATCGGGCCAAGAGGCAGATGAGCCTATGCGAGTCCCAGCCCCACTCACGAGCGTGGAAACCTGGGGCAAACGATTTAACTCCACCCAGACTGTTTCCTCACTCGTGCACTGCCAAAAGGACTGACAGTTTCTACAGCCTCCCTGGGCTGTCACAAGGCTCACATGTAATTCTTACAGCATCCCGACACTGGAGAGTTCTCCACACAGGCACGGCATAAAAATAACGACTAAAGGACTACTATCAGGTCTTCAAAAAAGAAAGCCTGCCACTTGTGACGGCACGGATGAACCTGGAGGACACCGCTGAGTGTAGTAAGCCAGGCACAGAGACACAAATGCTGCATGACCTCACATATACGGCACCTACAACAGTCAAGCTCCGAAGCAGAGAGTAGAACGGCGGTTGCCAGGGGCCGGAGGATGAGGGGCACCAAGTTTCAGTGACGCCTGACAGGAAGATCTGGACCGCTCGCGGACGGCCGTGTGACCACGCGTAACAATACCGCACTGTGTGCCTGAAATCAGCTAGCAGTCGGGAGAGCAGCCCTATGTATTCTAACCCAGAAAAAAGGAACATGATAGAAGATCGTAACTATCTGAGGGGATGGAATTTGCTCAATAGTGCGACTGTGGTGATTCGTCTGCAGTGTGTACAAGTGTCATCAGAATATCAAGCTGGGACCACAGATATGTACAATTTTTTTTGTCAACTATCAGTCAGTGTATCAATAAAGACAGCAGGCAGCAATAACGCTAGCGCTAAGAAATTGGGTAGTTTAGTTCTGAAAAGATGCAGTTACTGTTACATTGGGGAGGATATGGATGCGAGCTCATGAAAACCGCAGGGAGAGTCCTGGGGCAAGTCAGTCTGTGCTCTTCTTACAGAGAGGAGAAAGCGATGTTGCTGAAGCAAAACCCAGGTCAGCAAAGTCTCAGGTCAGGGGCTGGATCATCTTTGCTATCAGAGCTCATGAATTTATGAAAACCCTGAGCCGTACTCCATCACCACGGCTGGTGGCAGCTTGGCAGCTCCCGCACCTAGAGTCCGAGGCCTTCGGAGCCTCTCTGTGCGACACTGGAAAACACCAGTCAGTCAGGTGCATCCCTGCTCCTCACGGTCCATGGCACGAAAGGGCCCTTCAGGGGAACTCACCCGAACATCCACCTCCATCATTTTGTTCAGTGGAACCCGTATAATCTTCATCCCAAAATAATTGGCTGCTTTGTCAAATGCAGCATGGGCACTTTGGGGGGCCACACTAAATGACAGAGAAGAGAGTAATGAAATTCCGATAAAAGCAGGGCTCAAGAGAGAGCCTATTTAGCAGCAGCTCATCTACGTCACCAGGAGTAAACGTCTAATTATTTTTCCTCACGTTTTTACAAGTGTTTATATTGTTTTACTTTTCTTTTTAAGCACAAAGAAAAAGAGGTCAACTGATTTTCTACAGAAATCTTCTCCCTCTGGTTTAGGAAATCCAAAGCATAAAGCAGGGCTGACAGGCAGGAGACGAGGGACCTGGGCATTTGGATCAGATTGGCATCAGGCAGAGCCTTCTCGTGCTGGCCATCCAAAGCCAGGGAGCCGTTGGTGGGGGCACGATGACATGACACACGGCCAAGCAGGAACCTAAGTCTGCTTGTATCAGGTCAGTGGTTCCTTCCAGCTCTGAAAGCCCACGAGCCTATAAGAAACTATAATTCCCATTGTTCCTACATACTTAGAAGCAGCACTTCAAATAGTACTGAAACGGGGGTGCCTGGCTGGCTCAGCTCAGTCAGTAGAGCCTGCGACTCCTGATCTTGGGGTTATGAGTGCAAGGCTCACACTGGGCGTAGAGCTTACTTTAAAAAAAACAAAAAAAAGACAAATAGCACTGAAAAGGTTAGTTAAGTATTTGCTTTCAGACTTCTCTCAATTACTGCACTCTCAAAATCAGTGTGTTCCCTTTAAGGAAGGAAAGACTATTGCTCAGTACCAAGCACTAAGGTTTATGTATGGAGAAAGACGGCAGCCTGATTTATTCTCTCAGGCTGCACAGCATGAGATCACATGCAACCCTTAGTCACTGATACTTGTAGGAAAACAGTAACCCAGAGGATGTAGAACACTCTGGGCAAAGAGAGAGTCTAGAGAAAAGAATGCAGCCAAATATCAAAGTTATGTCTATGGGGTGGCATTATGGATAAATCTCGAAAAGATTTTAAAAATTTCTCCTCCCAGGGGTGCCTGGGTGGCTCAGTCGTTAGGCGTCTTGCCTTCAGCTCAGGTCATGATTCCAGGGTCCCCTGCTCCGCGGGAAGCCCGCTTCTCCCTCTCCCACTCACCCTGCTTGTGTTCCCTCTCTCGCTGTCTGTCAAATAAATGAATAAAATCTTTAAAAAAAAAATTTTTTTTTTCTCCTCCCAGAAAACAGCCCTCAGGCTGAAATTTTCTTAGGAAGCACTTTGAGGCAGCCTATTATATTTAAGTAACTTTCCCTGAATTTAAGGGATTATTAGAGAGTTTTCCTTAGGCTCCAGATTATTTATAATATCACAAAATTCAAAGATGTATTCCTGTTCAACCTGTCACTTTTAGGAAAAGGAGCTCATTCTTGCTTTCAGTATATACCACGTATAAACTTGGGGGTTGGGAAAGGGAATGACCTTTAAAATTAACTGGCTGATCCACTTAGGATTCTGTGGAATGTGAAGGGATAAGGGTCAAGGACGCAAGACAGGATGAACGAGGACTGAACTGCCAGAGGAAGAGGGAAGAGAAGTAGAAAACAGATGGTCAAGTTGTTTCCAACCGCAGTACTCCAAACAGTTAAATCCAAAGGAAACACATACATACATTTCTGGAGTTTTGATCCCATTCTCAAAGGCCAGGTCCCGGTAAGCTTTGCAGGCCATGAGTATGCTTTCTGTTCCCCCAGAGGTCACCTGTAATAAAGAAGCAATGTCATCCATGCAGTGCAGTGAGGCCGGCTGTCAGCATGCACGGCCCACCTTATCCTGGTGGCGCCCGGTGCAGCAGCAGGTAATGTCTGCGAGGCACTCGGCAGAGCACACATTGCCATGTCTTCCGGAAGGAAATGTGGCTTTATCAGCTAAGTGCACTCTTGGTTCAGAAGAGTAAAAACTACGAAATAAGAAGGAGCAGAATCTCTACATTGTATGGAAAAATGCACCATCTGCCCAGACGTCACCAGCACGCGGCCCGTTTACACTTCTATTCCTGGTCCAGTTGCAGATAGGATAGCGCATTTTACACTGCTCAAAAGCATCAGGATTACAGACTTTGATTTAAGTTTCCAATGCCCACTGCAGAATGAACTGCAGTCATAAGTCTAGTAAGCTACGTGATACCTCAGCAGATCAAGAAGGAAAGTTTAGACATTCCAAAGTGAACTGTGGTTTTGACAAGTTTGAAAAAGAAAAGCAGAGCCCTCTATTTACAAGTTGGTTATCTCACTTATCTGAAATCAAAACAAAAATCATAGTGTTTTTAAACAAAGTAAAATGTTTTCCTGAAGCTAGGCCTAGCCCTCCTTGGTTTTGGGTGAACGTCTTTCTTTTTCTTAAGATTTTATTTATTCATTTGACAGAGAGAGAGAGAGCACAAGTAGACACAGAGGCAGGCAGAGGGAGAGGGAGAAGCAGGCTCCCCGCCGAGCACGGAGCCAGACGCGGGGCTCGATCCCAGGACCCCGGGATCATGACCTGAGCCGAAGGCAGACGCTTAACGACTGAGCCACCCAGGCGCCCCTAGGTGAACTTCTTTATCAGAGTTGAAACCTAAATACTCAAAGGTCATGTCACGCATCTGACTTCCCTCACGAGACTATAAACTCACGGGACGGTGGGGACCAATCCATTCATGACAATATTCCAAGCACCCAGCCTAAAGGCTGACACTTAACAGAACCTCAACTAACATTTCTCAAAGCCTGATCTGACTCTCAGTAAACCATGACCAACATGGGCACATCATACCCGTCAGGCTATCTTTTGATGACATATAAGAATGAATTATTCCAGGTGCATCTGGGTGGCTCAGTGGGTTAAGCATCCAGCTCTTTTTTTTTTTTTTTAAGATTTTATTTATTTATTTGATAGAGGGAGACACAGCGAGAGAGGGAACACAAGCAGGGGGAGTGGGAGAGGGAGAAGCAGGCTTCCCGCCGAGCGGGGAGCCCAATATGGGACTCGATCCCAGGACCCTGGGACCGTGACCTGAGCCGAAGGCAGACGCTTAACGACTGAGCCACCCAGGCGCCCAGCATTCAACTCTTGATTTCGGCTCAGGTCATGATCTCAGGGTTTTAAGATCGAGCCCATCAGGCTCTGAGCTCAGTGGAAGTCCGCTTGAGATTCTCTCTCGCCCTCTGCCCTTCTCCCCCACCTCTTTCTCTCTGAAATGAATAAATAAATCTTAAAAAAGCAAAAAAAGAACCATTTCAAAACAAACCAAAAAAGCCACAGCACTGAGGTACGTGATTATTTTCTAAGATTTCTCATCTCTGAAGACTCCTACAAGCTTAGATAACTTTTTCATGGTACACGTGAGAAAACTGAGCCCCTAAGAAGACTAAAATAATTCACCCAGTGCCATCCATTAGCATCAGCTGATAAAAAGCAAAACTTTGCAGCAGCAACTTCTTGCTAGACACATCGCCAAAGGCAAGGGAAGCCAGGGCAAAAATGAACTATTGGGACTTCATCAAGATAAACAGCCTTTGCACAGCAAAGAAACGGTCAATAAAACCAAAAGACAACCGACAGAATGGGAGAAGATACTTGTAAATGACATATCAGATAAAGGGCTAGTATCCAAAATCTATAAAGAACTTACCAAACTCAACACCCAAAGAACAAATAATCCAATCAAGAAATGAGCAGACAACATGAACAGCCACTTCTCCAAAGAAGACATCCAAATGACCAACAGACACATGAAAAAATGCTCAACATCACTTGGCATCAGGGAAATCCAAATCAAAACCACAATGAAATACCACCTCACATGGGTTACAATGGCTAAAATTAACTAGTCAGGAAACTACAGATGTTGACGAGGATGCAGAAAAAGGAAAAAACCCTCCCACACTGTTGGTGGGAATGCAAGCTGGTGCAGCCCCTCTGGAAAACAGTATGGACGTTCCTCAAACAGTTGAAAATAGAGCTACTCTATGATCCAACAATTGCACTACTGGGTATTTACCCCAAAGATACAAATGTAGTGATCCAAAGGGGCACCTGTACCCCAATGTTTATAGCAGCAACGTCCACAATAGCCAAACTATGGAAAGAGCCCAGATGTCTATCAACAGATAAACGGATAAAGAAGATGTGGTATATATAAATACAATGGAATATTACGCAGCCATCAAAAATTGAAATCTTGCCATATGCAACGACATGGACGGAACTAGAGGGTATTATGCTAAGCAAAATAAGTCAATCAGAGAAAGACAATTATCATATGATCTCATTGATATGTGGAATTTAATAAACAAGGCAGAGGATCACAGGGGAAGAGAGGAAAAAAATGAAACAAGATGAAACCAGAGAGGGAGACAAACCATAAGAGACTTTTTTTTTTTTAAAGATTTTTTATTTATTTATTTGACAGAGAGAGACACAGCGAGAGAGGGAACACAAGCAGGGGGAATGGGAGAGGGAGAAGCAGGCTCCCCACAGAGCAGGGAGCCCGATGTGGGGCTCGATCCCAGGACCCTGGGATCATGACCTGAGCCGAAGGCAGACGCTTAACGACTGAGCCACCCAGGCGCCCCCCATAAGAGACAAGTCTTAATCATCCGAAACAAACTGAGGGTTGTTGGAGGGGAGGGCGGTGGGGGGATGGGGTAACTGGGTGATGGACATTGGGGAGATTATGTGTCATAATGAGCACTGGGTACTATATAAGATGGATGAACCAGAGACCTGTACCCCTGAAAGAAATAATACATTGTATGTTAATTAATTGAATTTAAACTAAAAACGAGAAAAGAGAAAAAAAAAAGGAAAACTTTCTACATTTGTGCATTTGGTGGAGTTAACATGAAATGGAATGAGAGAGAGGGATTTCTGGAATTTCTTATAATACCCAAAAAGAGGACAAAAACACCATTGCTACAAAACCCCAGTGGTCAGGAGTTACATGGAAGATTAGCTGAGAGAAGTTAGTCATACTGTGCTTCAGGAAGTCTTCAAGAAACACGTGCCCCTCACCCACGAAGTAATGTGCTGAACTTGGGCAGAGGACGCCTGCCTGTTTGCAGCCTCTGCACTTTTCTGCCAAAGATGAAAACGCTTGTAGTGGAGGTCAGCTCTGTGAATCAGCGCCTCGCCCTGTGGTCTAGCACAAAACCTCAGGCTGTCACATGAGGAGCCAAACAAGCTATGAAGCAAGTCAGGAAAGGACCAGCAACGTCCAAGTCTCCAGTGTGTCAGCCTCTTACTAAGGTCCAGTAATGACCTAAGCAAAAGGATTTCCAAACCCCTAGTCACCCAGCACACACGCTCTATTTTTAGTCCAATAACTAATCAAATCAACATCATTATTTGTTGGGCAAACAGCAGTGTACTTTGGACTGTAAAAGCAGGAATACCTAAATTCTACTTCTAATTTTTATTTCTGATCCCCAAATTCTGTGTCTAAACATGCTACTAACCTCCCATTAACTTCTACCCTCTGCGCCCAAAGAAAAATAGAAATGTGAAATCAGAAGATGAAAGCTTCAATAACTACTTGTAATGTTAGCTTCTTCCGACATTTATAAAAACTCGCTGTAATATATGAGAAGTATGTCAGAGAATAAGAAGAGAACACGGCCTGTTGCGAGAATTTTCTTTCAGATGCTGTCTGGACCCAGAGGCCTTTGCACAAGCCAAGACTGTTCCCCAGGGCAACAGAAGTTCTCTCAGTATATGAAATCACTTCTCATCCATTCTAACTGAGGAAAATGAAGTTAGTAACAGGAAAGATAGTTTAGACTGAAGAACAAAGAACAAGAAGAGCTTAAGACCTTGGCTGGGAATATGCTACAGACTGCCCAGCCAATGCAGCTCTGTCTTCTCATTTCCAACCTCTGAACTCTGAACTTTTTTTTCACCAAAAGCAGCTCATTGAGAGAGAGAGAGAGAGAGAGAGAGAGATGGAGAGAGACAGAGACTGAGAAGAGTAAGAGAGACAGAGAAACTCAAATTACCCCAGAGGTCATCGTTAGTTCTCCTGTAAAAGTCCTAAGTATTAGAAAAGCCTAGGGATCTCAGACTCCATCCTTCTCCCGATCCCGGACAGTGCAGCAATGCAAAAATACCCCTGGGGTTGGACTTCGGCATTCAGATGGAACACTGAACGTACCTCACAGCTGCTTTCTCTCCCCCGGTAACTAAAAGAAGGAAGAAACACAATTGCAAAAAGCTGCAATAACCACCATCAAACAAGGAAACAGAGAATCCAGTGCAAGAAACTTCAAATACTGGCAATGAAAAAAAGAGACAAGTTACTAAAGCACAGAAAAAAGCAAAACACAGTCCCTAATCCCTCCTCCAAGTCCCGAAAATTGTCCAGCCAGCCAGCAAAATCCTGAGGATTCTCATTAATACCGGCCAAATCTTCAGAGAAGCAAATGGAGGGGGGGCTCCTTATCTTCTGCTCAGTGAGTGGTAGACATGGAGCGAGGGAGAAACAGGAAAATGGGGAGAGAGAACACTGGGACTGACCCCTCAAAGTCAAGGCTTCAGGGATCCAGGATGGGTTAAAGAAATAATCAAAGCCCAGAGGGTCTTACTGTCTTCCAACTAGGCAGAGTAAACTCTAATAGGTAACTTTTAAAAAATCTCAGAAGAAGAGACCCAGATATCCTAACACAGGTGGAACCAAGAAGCCCTCAAGCAAATGCTCCCAGGTGAGAAATCAGCCAGCATGCGTCGGAACAAAATAGAATGTTCCGATGAGCATGAGCCACAGTGAAAGAAAATGGCACGGTAACTACGCAAACACACAGAAAGAAAAAAAGCAGCATGCAAAATAAAAGCCTAACCCAAAAGGTAACAGTCTAAGGGGCACTGTCGTCACTAGAGGACCACATGACAAGAACACGAATCGAAGAAAACAAGAGCTGAAAGACTGGACACCAAAATAAGAGAACGAGACTGCAGACCTAAAACACAGAGTACCAAATGACCCTGATACAGGACTAAGTAAGGACACGAGCGGCAGAATCAACCCGGCCGAGAATAAAGATCAGGACTTAGAGGAAAGGTTTAAGGCAAGTTTAGTGAACCCAGATTAAAAAAAAAAAAAACAGAGACTGAAAAATCACTGCCTCTCTACACCTGTGTCCCTCTGGCTAGACACAGATAACCAAAAGGTATTCAGAGAAGAAACATGGGCATGGTCGCCAATCTGTGAAACCGTATTCTCTAAGACGAGCTGAGTAGACTTGGAAGAAAGTGGGGAAGAGCAGATCCAGAGGGAGAGAAGATGTAAAGTGTACAAAGCTCACATGGAGAAAAACAACAACAATCATGGAACTCCTATTTCTGGCAATATAGATTAGACAGCTTGGGCAGCCCACCCTCCCATGGGAAACAACTAAAAAGCCTCATAAAACATTAAAATTTATTTTACATCTACCACTGAGCTTATATAACATAAAGGAATATACTAATATACTGAACCCAAACACAGCAAAACCAAGAATCCTAGCAGATAAAGTGAGTGCCAAAGCTGGTTTCAACTTTGAGGGTTGCTGCCACCCCCAGAGACCACCAACCGCCACCGTGACAAACAAACAGGAGGTAAACTGAGGGCCTGCCTAAAGGTAAAGAGTCGAACAGGAGACAGCTGGAGAACCTGGGACTTACACCCACATCTCAGGGGAACAAGAAATCAAACCCCACTGGTGCAGAAGAGGAGAGCAAGAAAAATGGCTTTCTCAACCCTGACCCCTGACCTGATGCTCTGGTAAAGAAAAATAAGGATCTCTCAAGAATGGCTCATAAGACGGCTTTGATGTGGGTCTGCAGTGTGAACTCATGCACCCTCTGTAGGATGAGACTGCACCCTGAGCATCAGACTCAGATGGGTTCCCGTGTGACAGTACCTCCCAGCAAGGCCCCGGCAACTGGCAGAAGTCATTACGTAGCTTTCCTGCAAGAACTTCCCTTCAATCTAGGCCTCAGAGAAGTTCCCAGAAAGACGAAAAAAAAAAAAAAAAACAAAAAAAAGTCACAAATATAAGGATACAAGCCAATCTGAATGAAACCAGCAGAAACAGATAGGTAAGGCTTGTGAGTAACAGAATTATCAGACACAAAATATAAAATAATTACAGGCAATATATTTAAATAAACAAAACATAAGCCAAGGAAAGGAACGCTAAAGAACCACCATGCAGGGGCACCTGGCTGGCTCAGTCGGCAGAGCATGCAACACTCGACCTCAGGGTCTTGAGTTTGAGCCCCACTTTAGGTGTAACACTTACTTAAATAATAATAATAATAAATAAAAAAACAACTTGAGCAAAACCTAAAAAAAAAAAGAACCACCAGGCAAATTAAGACAAAATTCTCGAAAATGAAGACTATAGTAAATGAAGTTAAAAAAAAAAAAAAGGCAATGGGGGCCGCCTGGGTGGCTCAGTTGGTTAAGCGACCGCCTTTGGCTCAGGTCATGATCCCAGGGTCCTTGGATCGAGCCCCGCATCGGGTTCCCTGCTCGACAGGGGGCCTGTTTCTCCCTCTCCCTCTGTTGCTCTCCTGCTGTCTGCCAAATAAATAAAATAAATAAATAAGTAAAATCTTTAAAAAAAAAAAAAAGCCAACGGAGGAACTCAAGTGCAGAAGAGGCACGGCTGAAGAGGGAACCCACGAAACCCCTCTACTCATCTTCCAGCTCCAACAACGAACACCTCACAGCCCGTCTTTCCTCCACCTGCAAACACCCCGGCTGCCACTGCTGCTGAGAACGCCAGCTGTTTTAACAGCTAATTACACACCAACCAGATGTGTGGTAGCCCTTCTCACTCCAGGCCGTCTCACTCAACCTCTTCTGTGCTAACTCTCTGGATGTTATTCCGGTTAATTTTGTATAAGTCTTCTTCTATAAATTGGACTTCGGAGCCATTAAGTATTTTACATCATTCTAAATGAAACAGGGCTCTTTGGACAAATGGCTGAGTTGGGGGTCTGGAAATGCATAAGGTAAACCTGGAATATTTCATCAAATAAAAATATTTTGTCAAAAAAAAGGAAAGAAAGGAAGCTTTCAAAGACCACTTGAGTCATACAAAAGAACCCAGAGGCCAAAATTAAGAGGCTCCCACTGGTCAAACGGGCTAATTTGAGCATTAATCAGAGTAGCAGCTGCAACGGGTTGAAGCACATGGAGTAGTCTGTAATTTTCCACCCCACTGTTGACTGGCATTTGGATTACTTCCAGTTTTCAACATCATGGACAAGGCTGCTATGACTATCCATCTATCCTGATACACATGTGCCAGTTTTTCTAGGGTGTACGCTGAGTAGTGAAATTTCAGGGTCATGAGATACCCGTTTCTTCAGCTTACCTAGATGAGGCCAAATTGTTTTGGGGCTGCTTAACTGATGGTCTCTTAAAAGTTCACAGAGTCTATGGTGCAGGAGAATACCTACGTACTATAAGTATACTGGATGGATCAAAGAGGGAGGGGGAGAAAGAAAGGAGCAGACACAGCAGATGTGCAAAATATTTAGTTACTGAATCCAGGGTTTTGTCTATTCTAGCAACTTCATGTTTAAAATGTTTCAAAATGCAAAACTAAGGAAAAAAAATTTTTTTTAAATATACCATAAAATGTTGATGCTCTAAAAATGCCAAAAGGTAACACTTTTACATTGCTGTTAATCTGGATCTTCCTGCCAATAATCACATATTACTTGTGTAACAAAATGTTTTCAAGAAACTCTTCTATTTTAAGCTAAACACGTAAGATTATTGGAGGCCACCTGCATCTACTTACACATCCACAGGAATCTGGCCCCCCACTGAACAGGGAACAAGCTATCCTCACAATCTCCGCCTCGATCTTTCGCAGTCCCGGGAAGATGTCTGGATGCAGTGGGTTACTCCATGCAAAATCTCCGTAAGCCTGCAAAGAAATGCACGCAGACATGAAGTAGGACGAATAAATACACTGTATGGGACAAAGAATCATGCATTAGACAGAAGTTTCTAGGTACCAAGCACAACACGAGAAACTGGAAAAATGGTAAGGTATGTGTTCCCCTTTAAAGAAGATCAAAATACAGTGGAAGAGAGAGACATGTAAATAACCTATTTTACAGTGTGGCAAGAGAGGAAGTATAAATGTGGTTAAAAAGCACGCACTAAACCAACAAACAGACCCAGTTTGCAATCCTGGCTTTGCCTATTACTTCTCGCTCTGTAATCTCAGGTCAAAAAACCTCTTTGAGGTTCAGTGTCCTCATGTGCTCAAGGGGATAACCATGGTACCTACCTGATAGGGTTCTAGCACTAAGTAAATAACATAAGGCACGCCAAATCCTTAGGAGAGCATCCGGCACAAAGGAGCTATTGTTCTAAGTGTGATACCAGAAGTGTGCAAGTGATGGAAGGAGCCGTAAGGAGGGACTAACAAACAGCCCGACAGGTCTGAGGGGTCTGTACAGGCAGAACCTTGAGAGATCAATAGGAATTCGACATTTAGAACAGGTGGACTGAAGGAGGGGAGGAAAACACGGTACGAGCGAGGTACACTCAGTGAAGAGGAAAGACGGAAGTTCGTGTTTACGTGGGAAAGTAACAGAGGTGGTTGAAAAACACAGCTGGGAGCTGGCTCACCACAGGGCTTGCATTTTCTTTTTTTTAAAGATTTTATTTATTTATTTATTTATTTATTTATTTATTTATTTATTTATTTATTTGAGAGAGAGAGAGAGAGAGAGAGAGAGAGAGAAACAGCATGAGAGGGGAGAGGGTCAGAGAGAGAGAAGCAGGCTTCCTGCTGAGCCGGGAGCCCGACGTGGGACTTGATCCCAGGACTCCGGGATCATGACCTGAGCCAAAGGCAGTCGCTTAACCGACTGAGCCACCCAGGTGCCCGTGGGCTTGCATTTCCTGCTATATAAGCAGCTTGGGTTTTATCCCGTAGATAGTGGGAAGCCACTGAAAGATTTTTAAGCCAGCGAAGTAAGATCAGAGCATTATGTCAAGATATAGCTAAGCCAAACCTGTGGTATTTAGTAAGGTAGGAGCAGTTTCATAGCTTTCATAATCAAACACAAAGACCTCAGAGATTGTTAAATCCAATGCCAATTTTATATGATAAAGTGGGGTTTAGGAAATAAATCTGATTAGCTATAGGCAACTCTAAAGTCAACAAAAAATGAGAATTATTTCAATTATAAGTGAACCTACTGCTCATTCTCAGATCCTTTGATCTGAGACTCGGGTGGTACAGGAAATGATGAGCAAGTGTCTATTCCTCTTCTCTTCTTTTAAGTAGGCTCCACGCCCAGCAAGGAGCCCAACAAAGGGCTCAAACTCACAACCCTGAGATCAAGACCTGAGCTGAGATCAAGAGTCGGACACTCAACCAAATGAGCCACCCAGGGGTCTATCCCTACTCTCTTCTCATCAAACAAAGTATGTCTTGTCATTAATAACCTCAAATGATGGGGGACTGACTACCTTCCCTAGTAATCTGCCTTCCCCATGGGGCACCTATAAAGCCTGGAAATGTTAAGTAATATTGTACTTTTTTATGGACTGAAGACATCTCTGACAATATTATCCATGGTCACCTATATGTGGGTAAAGAGAAACTTTCTAAACTTATTTTTAACAATAAACTTTCGTTAAGTAATTTTTTTTTTTTAATTGCAAAAGTAAGGAGAAAAACTGAGGTGGTATGAAGGGCACAGACCACACACACTGCCTTGGGGTGCTGGCATTCACCTTCACCAGGAGCTGGGTGAGCTCTTCTGCCCCGCTGTACACTGCTCCAGAGGCTTTCCCCTCCTGCCAGAAGACGTCTGTAGAGAAAGTTAAGACCACTGGGTCAGTAAGCAGGAACTTCCCCAAAATACGAAGCAACACCTCTGGGTACAAAAGAAAAAAAAACTTTGAGTGGAAACCCGGAGGTGATCTTATAAAGAATTCCAAAAAAGACCTATCATAGCAAAATAAAGATGAAAGATCTTCCATTACTATCAACAACAGTGTGAAAAAGATATCAACAGCATCCAGGTATAATCTAGTCCAATAATGATGCTGTCATCATCCCCAATGGCCTTATACCAGTAGAAAGTTGTTCCTTGATCTATACTCATTTCCTGGTCTCTGTATGGCTAACGACTTTTTTCTCCCCTTCCTATCCAGTCAAAGGAAGTGTGAGAACTGTTATGAGCAGAGCTGGCAGGGAAGAGCAAGGCCAAGTGTGGAATTTCAGTACACTATTGTCAAGAGTTGGAGCCAGGGAACTGAATCCCTGACCAGACAAACCACGATGATGAGTAGACTGTCAGCACCCTGGTCTCAGCAGCAAGCCCCTCACATGAGCCCAAAACCTACCCACAATTCCACTTCCTGTCTGAGTGCTTCTCCAAAGACAGTCAATGAATCTGCTGATGTGGGTATCTCAGATACAACATGGCTGTGCCCTACTGAGAGTGCGCAGTGACAAAGCTACTACAGAAACACACTAACTGAAAACTGTCGCCACAGGCTGTACAAAGCCATGATCTTCAGCTCTAACAAGAGAGCAGAAGATTGAGTGGCAAACATCCAGACAGACCCCCCATCCTCAGGCAATCTGCCACGCTCTGGCTTGATTCCAATAGGACTTTCCCTCTTTCCTTACAGGACATTGGACTATACCATGCATGTCTTCAGACCAGAGGCTACCAGCCTTTCAAAAATAGAATACATGGTTTCATTTCCTGTTATTTTGTTGGTGCTATCGACAATGACTTAGAAAAGGAAGGGAAGGCAATATGGCGGCAGCAACGTGCCCTCGCGATCATAGAAATCTTTAACATCCAGGTCTCAGAGGGCTGATCCCTGCTTTACATCATCTATAAATCCTGGACTGCAGCTAATTTTGTACCATCCAATGTCAAAATCTTAACACACGTCAATTAGAAATTTTTAAGTGTATTTGTTGAAATGCAATGTGGTATCCTGGATTGGAGCCTAGAACAGAAAAAAGGACATTAGTGGAAAAACTGGTGAAATAGGAATAGAATTTGCAGTTTAGTCAACTGCTGTTTCGACAAATGCATCACAGTCACTTTAGATGTTAACATCAGGAGAAGCCAGGTAAGGGGTGTATGGGAACTCTCTGTATGTATGAATTTGCAAATTCTCTACAAATCTTAAATTATGACAAACTAAAAAGCCTATTTTCTAAAAGTATTTGCAATATGGTCTAATCTATAATAAACCTGTGTTTGTGTTAACAGCCAACATTTATGGGGTGCCTGGGTGGCTTAGCCAGTTAGGCGTCTTCCTTCGGCTCAGGTCATCCCAGGGTCCTGGGATCAAGCCCCACATCAAGCTCCCTGCTCAGTGGGGAGCCTGCTTCTCCCTCTCCCCTCTGCTAGTGCTCTATCTCTCACTATCTCTCTCTCTTTCTCTCTCAAATAAATAAAATCTTTAAAAAAAGTCAACATTTATTGAGCACTTACTATATGCCAGGTATTATACATTTATATGTACGATCTTATTTAATCTCTGTAATTATCTTTATTTTTTTTAAAGATTTTATTTATTTATTTGACAGAGAGACACAGCCAGAGAGGGAACACAAGCAGCGGGAGTGGGAGAGGGAGAAGCAGGCTTCCCGCTGAGCAGGGAGCCTGATGCGGGGCTCGATCCCAGGACCCTAGGATCATGACCTGAGCCAAAGGCAGACACTTAACAACTGAGCCACCCAGGTGCCCCTGTAATCATCTTTTCAAGTAAGTTGTATTATCCCCCATCGTAGAAAGACAGAGACCAAGACATAGGTTAAGTAATTCCCCCAAGGTCACACTTTAAGTGGCCCAACTAGCATGTGAATCCATGCTGATTCCATGGGCTACACTCTTTCTTAAAGATTTTTTTTATTTTTTTATTTTTAAGTCATCTCCATACTCAACGTGGGGCTCGAATTCACAACCCTGGGAGATCAAGAGTCACGCGCTCCTCTCAGCCAGGCTGCACTCTTAAACATTAAGCTACTTGGTATATTTATCCTTCCCTTATGTGCTCATGCACATATACATATCTGTATGTGTATGTATGTTTATTACACAAAAACACGATTAAGATTCTTACATATATATATCATCTGTGTTTATCTTGTGATGATGGGATTTTCTTTTGTGCCTTTGTGCAGATTTTACAAATTCTATAATGAATCTGTATTTCATTCTTATTACATATATTCTCTCCTTAAGAAACAATCGTATCTGTTTTATTCAGGCTTACAAAAGGAAATGGGACCAAGTTCCAGTTCCACTGTCTCTGAGATTCGTTTGCTTTATGGATGGAGGATGAATTTAAATATAATTTTTATGATAAGAAATTGAGCCTCTGAGACAGGATGGATATATAAGTTCCATGGATGAAGCACTCGTAACCTATCGACAGTAAACAATGACCAAACCGGCCACGTTGGGAAAGCAAGCAGCTTGAGGCCCCCAGAATCCTACCCATAGAGCTGTAGTCCTTGAGCTTCTCCAGAACTGCTGACGCGCTCAGGCCTTGAGAGGGCAAAGCTTTCACATACTCTTTGTCCACTTTCAGGAATGACATGTTCTTGCTTATATCATCCTTGGTCTTGTTCACCTTCTCTTGGATCTCCAGAGGTAAGAAAGACAAAGTTAACAAGGAGATGGAAAAATACAGGCCAGGGAGCAGAAGAACCAGTTACGACTCCGAGTCAACTGCTGAGGGCTGGGCGCCACACCAGTGCTACAGAACGGGGATGGTATTGTTTTTGTAAACAGATATGGGGACATTCTGGCTGCTCAGCTATTTTCTGGCATGTGCAGCAGGCTCTTAGAAGCCTGAAAAGTCAACTTTCTGTCCAAAAGTCGAAGATACATTCAACCCCCCCACCCCTTTCCTCTGCCATGCCGACATCGCCCCTGCTTTACTGGGTTTGCATGTGCCACTGTCTGAGCGCAGTATGTGGATGTTATCCGTGTCCTGGCAAGCAGCCAGTGTGTGTGCTAAAGAAACAAAGGTGGAGCCACGAACGGTGGCCAGAAAACAGGCCAAGCAGCAGCAGAAGCATTCTGGTGCTCATGCAGGTAAGGAGCTCCGTCACCAGACATGCACGGAGCACGCCCAGAATGCGGACAGCCTGCGCAAGTCGCCACATGCGTGTGCAAGACACCCCGGGGGTACCGGGGAGACCGCATTCGAGCTCCTCGGGCTGTCTGCCGCCTGTACTCTTTTTGACCCTTAAGTGCTAGGGGGGAGCGACGGCCCCTTCTGTACAGTTTATCAACGATGGCTGTTTCTCCTCCGTCCACCTCCTCACCGCAACAGCCTGTGCTTTCCCTCCCTCCCTAGGTGCCCAACTACCCCTGTGGGCCAGCAAGACACAGCGAACAGAACACACTAGGCAGTAGGAGTGAGAACTTCTGTTCTCACGATGCTTCCTTGTAGCAGCAGACACAGAAAATGAAAGGTAGTGGAAAGTGCTGGGGGGAACAGAACAGAATTTAAAAACACAACAAAACCCAGCAGGGACCGCTATCTGCACTAAGGGACTGTTGGGGGGTAGTTTGGAAGGGTGGCGTTACAGCGAGACGGTTTCAGCGACCCATTTGTGAAGGTCTGAGGCCCCTGATCTGACCCCAAACATTTCGACCTCCCCATCTCTAGCCCTAGAGGATTAGAACATGAGAGGAGCCTGCTAGATGTGGCCCCCAGCGAAACCGCAGGGCAAGGTGCGCCCGTGAACCACGCCCGCAAGTGTCGCAGGCAGCCGAGGCCCACCCCGCGGCAGTGGGAGGTATGTGATGGGCACGAGAGTGTTTTTAAAGTTGTACGTGGACTATGCTGCCTGAATGGCGAGCACACAACAGGCACAAACCATGGAAGCCAAGCTTCCACGCCTACACTGCTGCTGTAGTAAAACAGAAGAGCCACACAACGATGGTGAGTCGCATTAGAAGGCACACAAGTACTTTCCCCCCAGTGCCTGCCTCAGGGCCTCTATCACATTTTAATTCCTTCACAGCATTTATTTCAAAATGAAATTCTTATGTGTTTGTTCATGTATCTATTTTCTGTTGTTCCTAGGAAAATGTAAGCTGCGCAGAGCGGGGATTCGGTCCCCAGCACCCTGAGCAGTACCTGACGCTGAGCACGTGCCCACGAACCGTGTGCTGAGTAAGTGAATGTAAGGGAATGAATGAGAGAGGGACACACACACACTCGCTCGAAACAAAGAACTCTTGTCTCTGAGCCTCAAAATCTGCTTCTAAAAAATGACAGGTGATTACAGAGTTTCTAAGTGCCTTCCAATTCTGTTATTTTATAAATTTCAGTAAATTTATAAATTTCAGGGTTCTGGAACCCTAGCACTTATTTGTCCCAAAATCTGACCCCGAAGGAGAAATGTGTGAAGAAAAAGAGCAGAAAAATACAGGGAATGAAAAGGAGAAATGCGAGTATCCTCTGAGATCCAGTCCACTCTCCATAGCTGCCCTCTCCCTACCCCTTAACTCTAGATCGACTCAGGGAGATTTCATTTTAGGGCTTAAGATGATTTAGGGTCAAATAAAAGCCTATATACTCCCATTCCCCTTTTCCACCCCAGTAACTACTTCTGCTTCCCTATAGGAAATAACCTGAAAATAAATACACAGTTACGGGAGAGTTAGCCCAGAAGTCTGAATGGATTTTGGTCAAAGGCCAAGGATGACTAACATCTCTTCTGGTTTGGCCAGGAAAGGGGAAAAGGGAAAGGTAATTGAAAGCCAAAAGTGAAAGCAAGCTTGAAGGAAAGCTGAGGGGCAGGCAGGGAATGGGGGAAGCCGAAGACATCAGGGCCAGTGTGCCCTCCTTGCAGCTTGCATGGGGCCTGCCTTATTTATCTCCTTCTGTGATAAAGAGCCGGTGGGAAGGGTACAGAGGTGACTGTCCTATCCTCAGCGTGGGTGAGGGGACAGAGGACACAGTGAAGGGAACATACTATGCTGCAGACAGGTACAAAGAGCAAGAGATCGGGGCTCTCCAAGTTTCTCTAAACCTGGAATCCACCAACTACAGCCAACCGAGATCTGGCCCCTGGCCGTTCTGTAAAGCAAGTTTCAGTGGAACACAGCCAGGCTCATCCTTCTACCTCTCTATCACCCTGACAGACATGGTATGGCCTGCAAAGCCTAGAATGTTTCCTGTCTGGCCCTTCACAGAGAAGTCTGTCAACCCTGACCTAACCATGTAAGCACCCGACCCCCAGACGCGTCTCTCAAGTCAGAGCAGCCAAATATGCTCTAAAGCATCATGCCACTTCAGCCAGCTTTTCTAATTGCAAATTCTGCCTTTAACAGACGTCACCTGTCTCTTCTGGGCAAATATGTTGGAGAAAGGGTTAAGTGAGGTTTCTTAATCTTGACACTTTGACATCTTGAGCCAGATAATTCTCTACTGGCCCTGCAGGATGCTTAGCAGCACCTCTGGCTGTGATCCCCTAAATGCCAACAGCACCCCGCTCTAGTTATGACAACCAAAGGTGTCCTCAAACATTGTCAGATGTTCCTCGGGGAGGGTACAAAAATCACCCCTCGTCCTTGGGAATTCGCACTAGGTTCAGTAAATAGAAAGAAAGAGATCATGACCATGGGGGCGACGGGAGGGCTGGAAGTTATACACAGATTCCACTTACCTTGCGACCAATAATAGGCATCTTCCTGATGAGCTTAAAACATCTCTTTTTAAACCTTGACCATAAGCCTAAAAGAAACAAAGGGTTTTGTTACCTATTCAAATGAATTCCCACGGATAATTATGAACTACTCAACGTGCCTCCTGCAATCTCACCTGCCTTCTGATCACAAAGGTAGTTTCTTTCTATTTTAAAAAACCTTGAAATTTAAATTGCCAAGTAATATATTTACATGGTTCAAAAATTTAAAAAAATTGGGGGCCCTGGGTAGCTCAGTCAGTTAAGCGTCCGACACCTGGTTTCTCTGCTCAGGTCATGATCTCAGGGTCCTGGGATCAAGTCCCAAGTTGGGCTCCACACTCAGCACAGAATCTGCTTCAGATTCTCTCTCCCTCCTCCTCTGCTTCTCCCCCTGCTTGTGTGTGCACGCGCTCTCTTTTTCTTTCTCTCTCAAATAAAATCTTTTTAAAAAAAAAAATTTTTTTAATTAATAAACACACACAGAGTTAAAAGTTTCTCTCTCATCTATTCCCCAGACTTTCATCCTACCCTCAGGTAAACACTACTACTATTCACTTCTAGAAGAGCTATCTAGAATTTCTTTATGCTTATACAAGCAATAATAAAGATAAAATCTTATTTGTCCTACCCACCTTTTAAACAAAAGGTAGCATACTCTAGTACTATACTAGACCTTGATCTTCTACTTAGGCATATTCTCTTAAAGCTCAGTGCTTCCTCATTCATTATTTTTTTTTTTAAGATTTTATTTGAGAGACAGCACCCGAGATGGGGGGAGGACAGAGGCAGAGGGAGAAGCAGACTCCCTGCTGAGCAGGGAGCCTGACACAGGGCCCCATCCCAGCACCCTGGGATCATGACCTGATAGGCAGACATTTAACCGACTGAGCCACCCAGGCGCCCCCTCATTCATCTTTATAGCTCTAAAGTAGTCCATGATATGGAGGTACCATAACTAATTTAACCTGTCCCTTCCTGATGGACACTTCGGTTATTTCTAGTATGTCCTATTACCAACGACAGTGAAACAATAACCTTGCAGCACATACCACACACCTGAGGGCGTGCCTACAGCATGAATTCCCAGAAACAGAGTGCTGGGTTAAATGACATATGTATTTCAGAGCTGTTGACCTTCCCAAGGTTTTAGATGCCTAACACCTCTCTTCCCTCCCTGAAAACAAATGACCAAGCCATGCTTTTCTTCAGGATCTATGCTCTAGTCTCACACATTCAACACACACCTTGGCAACATTTCAACATTTTTGGGGCTTAAAAGGCCTTCAGTATCATGGACACCAATCAGACTCCCTTCTGTCAGGCAGTGCACAGGACAAATATGGAATTCTGATCCTATCCACTGCAATAATTATAAAGACATGGCATCTAAATAGACCATCGTAACTTTTAATGAATTCGCATTCAATATAGAAGGCACCACCTACAATCCAAAGGCAACTAAGGATCAAGCATTAATAACTTGCTGAAGGCCACAGATCACATCAGCAACGGAGCAGGGATTTAACTGGTCTTAATTTTCCTAGCCTTAGACCCCCAGGACTCTATGCTGCTTCAAACACAGAACAGAAATTCTCAGTTATCCCAAATGAGTCTGTAAGGAATCTAGACCTAGTTTCTGTGCAGGCAGGAAATGAATATGACGTTTTACCACATTTCTAGCAGATGGAGGCATTCCAACTTCCCTGGCCAGTGGAGCACTCTCCAACAAGCACAGACTGTCTGTGCCTCGTTAGTACCGATTACATGATGCCTTGCATCTTTACTAGCCGCAACCCTGCGTCTCCCTCTCACCCACAGTGCCCAGCGCTAGAGTCAACACTCCGTAATGTCTGGGACAAAACCAGGGAACTGATACCCAGACTGAATAAGAAGACTAAGGGATTGAAATCACTTGTTTGTAGTTACTTTTTATTTAAATTTTGGAGTATTTCCTTTCGGTCCTATGTTGTACACACTGAAACACATAGCTGCGATCTTATAGTATGTACAACACTGTGTCCTCTTGTCACAGCATTTTCTACATTAAAGATCCTTCCTGAACAGAGTTTTTTCAGTATTACCATAATAGGCCATCAAATGAGTATAATGTAGCGTTGGATATTTAAGCTGCTTATTATCTGACCATTTCCAATAATGTTAAAGCTGTAAAGATTCAGAACAACTTCCTTATTTAACAGATGAAGTAATTAACTAACGAGGAAGAGTAAGGTTGAAAACTCAGTAAATGGGAGTCACTTGGCCAGAAGTACAGTCCTGTGGCTAGGTGCAGGAGGACAGAACAGACTGAGTGTGTGCAAGCTGTGAGATTAACCAGGATAGGTAAAAAGAAGAGAATACAAGATCAGAGACGGAGAAATTAGAAATGAAGAGATCATGTGGTCATGACCTAAAAAGATGATCTCAAAAGTAAAAGTCCCCTGAGGTATAGAAAGAAAAGTAATTACAGTGTTTATCATAGTGTTTTAAGGTAATAAAATAGGAAATGCAGTGTGAGGACACCAAAGCATGGCTCTTTACAGTTGACAAATTCCTTTCACACAAACGATGCCTCTCAATACTCATTACCCTATGAGTAAGTAAGGCGGGTGACACTTAGGCCCATTTTACCATGAGGGAACGGGCTAAGAGAGCTTAAGGGTGTTGCTCAAGGTGCCACAGCTAGAACTGGGAGAGCGTGTCACCTCCTCCCACCATATAACTCCGATTTCTGTTCATGAACTATGGACAATCCCACAGTTAAATCAACATCAAGGAGTAATGATATGCGCTGATATCACAGAGCAGAATTAGGGGCGAGGTAACACGGTGAAGAGCTGCTGACCCCTGCCCATGCTCACACCCCCATCCTCCTGCCGCTTCCAGTTCTTATCTGCCCCAGTGTCCATCCTGTGTTCCAGAATTATCCTCTCATCTTGGAAGTGTATTCAGAGTTTGAAGATCAGCAAAATTTATCACTAGTCCAGACTTTAAGACTCCTCTGGGGCAATGTGCTAAAGATAACTCGATTGTTCAGTGATGAGGACAATGCCTCTTCATGAACAAGGTACTGAAAAAATGGCAATGCTATCAAAGTTATCTCCCATCCAAGTACTAACCAGGCCCGACCCTGCTCTAGAGGGAAGACATTTTGATCAGTGTCTAAAATTCGAGTTAGAAGTGACAAAATAAGAGTGTATTGTGTGTATATGTGTTAAACTATAGGAAATTGCTGATATTCAAAAATGCTGACCTACAGAAATGACATTTTGTACGTCTGGTTTGACTGGATTCAGATATAGAAAAAAGATACATATGTGTAAATAGTGGTTGGCTCTAGGTAGCAAGATTTTCATTTAGTTCTTATGGATTATTGGTATTGCCTAATTTTCTGCAATGAACATGTCCTACTTTTGTAATAAGAAAAAACATATTAAAAAGGACTTAAATAGCTCGGAGTTGGGCTTACAGAGATTTCCCTGGTGCATACGATCAACACATTGCTACTGGTAATTTTCCCATGGAATGCATGGAGACCAGCATATTCTGTTTGGAACAAGGCAGGTAAGTAAGCACCAGGGCCTAAGGTGGCTGTGCTTCTACTACCAGGTTGGCAAAATGCACACAGGCACTGTGGCCTGCAGAACTAAAGGTGGAAGTCAGTACCTAAAGTGAGTATGAATCATAGCAAAGAAATATAAATGTCAAGGATCTGTAACCTTATGTTGGTTTTAACAAACACACCACCTTAAAAGGAAAAGTACACAGAATGGTGGCCAGCAGGACCTGGCGGGGAGGGGATCACGGGGAGTTATCGTTCCATGGGTCCAGAGTTTCAGTGTGGGATGCTGAGAGAGTTCTAGAGATGGATGGTAGGAATGGTTTTGCAACAATGAGAATGTACTTAAAAATGAGTAAGATAGTAAATTTTATGTACATATATTTTATCACAGTAAGAAAGAAAGGGAGAAAGGTCTGTTGCTACTCCTTAGAGTCTTCTGGAATAAGTTACTTCACCTGGAAGGACAAGATGGAGGGCTTCCCTGAGCAGAAAGATACGGGTTGTGCCCCTTTCCAAACCACAGAGCAGATGCAGCCCAAGGGCTGGTTATCAGAGTTTATGAGGAAACCTTGCAAGGACTAGGAGGAGGAACTGAGGACAGGATTTTTACAGCTGGAATGGACTAAAATGTAGACAGGGCAATCAGGTCTCATTCCCACTTTAATTAAGTGCCATGTTTACTATGCCTTAACTGCAATGGTTACTAGAACGGCTCAGTGGCTATCTGCAGGGTAAACAGATAAAACAGAATCTGGCTTCTAAGTTAACCTTCGGGGGGGGGCAGAAAAGCAGAAAAAGTAGTTAAAGAGCCCCTTCAAACAGATGTTATCAGGGAAGCAAACAGTCATGGCCATTAAAATTTGTTTAAGAACAAATGAGACATGACAAGTGATTCTCTTCCACGTTAATGTTTTTTATCCCCAGGAAGTTAACTCTGGTACCCTATACTAAGGGTGGGGAAGGGGTGCAGAGGAGAGTTATCAAACACCCACCACCACTCCTACTTTACTTAGGAAGCACAACCTGCAGGGGAAACAATTCACAAGGAGGGAACAGGTAAGCAGGTCTGGCAGGGGAAGAAGGGTGCCCAGGACCTTAGGAAGGATGGAGAACTTACAGACTCCCCACTAAGAGACTTCTCACCTTCTTCTGCACTCCCTGAGAAGTGGCCTCCTCTTCCCCATGTCAGTTTGGCTCCCTGAGTCACTACCCAGGAAGTTCATAGTGCGCTGTCCCCTGACATCAGAAGTTTAACTCCAGGAGGACAGGGACCCTCTATGACTTCTGTAGACATCCCCAGAGCCCAGCACAGTGCCTGGCACACAGCACATACTCACAGGGTCCCTGCATGAGTGCTGTTCCAATTTCACATAATCTGTATTGAAAAGATGGCCTAAAATGAACTCAATAAATTCCTGCTTGGGGAACTCCAGGGTATACAATTATGTCCTAGGCAAGACACTAAACCTGAGAAAGATTTAAGCCATGCTCTGAGATACCTGTGGATCTTTACAATGCCTAATTTCTCAGGAGTTTTTAGGCAAGCTGCAACTCCAGAAAAATCAACAAAAGCAGTAATAGATAACATAAGAGTAGCTATTGTAACTTTACATATAGAGTCCTACTATAACTTTATGGTCAGAAGACAATGTCCCACTTCCCCCTTAAATAGATTTAAAAAATCAGAACCAAACCAGAAGGCAAGCAATTAGTCCAATCCATCAGCCATGAGTTCTAAAGCTGGTGAGATTCCACTGTACCTTTCCAGAGGAGAGGGGGCAGTATACTTACTCTCTGGCTGGAAGACAAAATCATATGCCCAGACTATTAGCAGGGTGCACAGGACACTCCAGGCAATGAGCTGCCAGGGCTCATACTTGGTGCAATGTCCATTTACATAATTCTTGGCCTTTGTGCAATATACTTCCAAAATCTCAAAGTAGGGCTCAAAAGCCTTCTAGAAATACAAGAGAAAAAGAGAAACATGACATTCAGAGAGAGAAAAGTCTGTTCTTCGTTTGTTCCTCAGCTCTCATTTTTCAAGGGCAAGGCCACTCATGATCTGGCCCCACCCCAGCAATAATCTTATCTTCCTCCACCGTCCTCAAAGCTTCTGCTCCAGTGGTACACTGCCCCTTAGAGTCAGGTGGACTTTGACAAGGTTTTTGATCTTCTGCCCAGTCTATAAAATAGAAGGTTCATCTGGATCATCATTTCAGCCCTGAAGCTTTGCTGTGAGTACAGTATTCATCACCCCACTCTCTTAACTCTTACCCTCCTTCTCTACTCTATTTGAATCTTTCCCATCCTCTAACCCAGGGGTCAGCTGATTTGTTTCTGTAACAGTCCCGAGAGGAAATGTCTCAGGCATCACAGACCAGCTGGTCTCTGTTACAAGGATCAACTCTGCTTCTGCAGCACAACCGCTGCCCCAGACAGTGGGAAACCAATGACCATGGCCATGTTCCAACAAGTTAATTATAAGATGCTCAAATCTATATTGCACAGAATTTCCCATATCACAAAATATTTTTTATGAAAACAATTTTAACAATGTAAAATAACATGCTTAGCTCATAGGCTGGACAGAAACAGGCAGCAGGCCAGAGGTGGCCCATGGGCCACAGTCTGCCGATCTCTGTTCTCACGCACAGCTTGACTAACAAACACCTAGAGCCGGACGCCGTATCTTATCACTATGTGTATCCCTCACAATAGCCAGCACAAGCAAGAAAAAAGTCCCCTCCCCTGAGCGTCTACCAGACTGCCCCACTCATGAGAATGAATCTCTCCCATTAAACTCTCCCCAAGTCTCCCCTTGTGCCTCTCCACTGAGCCTAGCAGCAGGTGGCCTGCACTCAGCCTACTCAGCTGTTTTTACCTCTCTCACTCCACGCTTGAGTCCTTGAAAGCTGATCAGATCTGAATCATCGCTGCAAGCCCTCACGGTGGCGGCACAAAACAGTTTCATCTGATAGTTTGTTCCTCACTCACTTATTCAGTGTTTACTAAGCATCCCCAGTGGTTAAGGCATAAAGATGGGGGAGCCCTAAGGTAAACACCACAAGTTTTTGCCCTCACTGAGCTTACAATCTAATGGGAAAGGTGTGTGGGGGGGGGTGGGAAGGATGGGGGGGTGAGATGGACATTGGGGAGGGCATGTGCTATGGTGAGAGCTGTGAATTGTGTTAAGACTGTTGAATCACAGACCTGTACCTCTGAAACAAATAATAAATTATATGTTAAAAAAAAAAAGTAGGGAAAAAAGAAGGGGGGGAATCGGAGGGGGAGACAAACCATGAGATACTATGGACTCTGAAAAACAAACAGGGTTCTAGAGGGGAGGGGGGATGGGTTAGCCTGGTGATGGCTATTAAGGAGGGCACATATTGCATGGAGCACTGGGTGTTATACACAAACAATGAATCACGGATCACTACATCAAAAACTAATGACGTAACGTATGGTGACTAACATAATAAAATTAAATTAAAAAAAACCTTTTTGGAGGTGGCATAAACAGGGTTTGCTAACTTCATAGATATAGGAAGTACAGAGTGGGAAGAATAATTCCAAATGTTCAAGTTTAAGTCTGAGAGAGTAGGTGAGTGGTGTCACCACCAACCCCAGCAGACTAGAAGAGGAAAAAAAAAAAAAAGTCATAACCGGGAAGAGAGAAGAAGAGCTGTAAATGCATAAGAAAAGTCTAGGAATGGCAAAAAAGTTCTGTGTGGTGAGAGCAGCGATGGGGACAGGGAGCTATGTGCTAGACCCCCAGCACACCGTGCGCGCTCCATGAACACCGGACGGTAGTGGCGACCGAGCATGTGCGTGAACACATCAGTCAGAGAATGGAGGCTGGCAGAAGTGCACTAGGTCCAGATTAAAAATGGTCTTTAAAAAGACCATGGAGGGCGCCTGGGTGGCTCAGTTGGTTAAGCGACTGCCTTCGGCTCAGGTCATGATCCTGGAGTCCCGGGATCGAGTCC